TATGAGGCATTTATTAACATCAACCTGTTAGTGGCGTCCTCAATGTCCTAAGACTATGATCTTTTGGTGCTGCTGGGGTTCAGATCGAATCCTTTGCGGGGATTTTGAACCTTCTCAGGAATCAAGCGTCATATAATCGCCTGATCCGGACATGCTACTAGATGGGATAGTTGTTTGTTGCAGGGGGCGTAGAGCCTTTGAATTATGTGAGGGTAGGGGGTAGGCCAAAGGCTGCCCCGTACATGTCCCGCTGATATTGAGGGATTCTGGCCCCTTTTATAATCCTACCTAAGCTATGAAGGAACGTAAGAATCTTCATGGTTATGTACATGCTGATGACATCTACCAATATCCTCTGCGCACCCTCGTAGACTTAATCGAAATCACACATATTGATCGATATCACACATTAGTATTACTTACAGCTTTTGCTCTACTGGTATTTCTGCTACTCATATATCAAACCAGAGCCACAATATACTAATTATATTTCACTATAGTGATCAACAGACATCCTCTTTACCTTTGGGCTAGTATATAATAGGCTGTTCTAGATATCCACTTCAGCTATGGTTGATAGCAGTAATCAAGAGTCATGCCACAGCCAGATAATAGAGCACTATTCAGTATTTTCTTCATTACCCTCATCCGTCAAACAAGCTGCCAGGTAAGTTAACTAGGTAGTTAGCTATTATAAGCAGATTACTAAGGCATTAGGCTCTCTTTGAACCAATTAAAGTGAGGGTGTGGGATAACCCTAATTATATAGGAAGACCTTCTTCAACCATTATTAATTCTACAAATCTGGCCAAAAACATTTCAACCTACTATCAGCCACTCAGCTTTAAGCTTAAGCAGCCACTGCAAGGCCAGGAGCAACTTAATCTTTTAGTCACCCAAGACCTTTAGGAGTTTCTCCTAAGGCAGAACAATAACTTGTCATACATTAATTTTCTTAAAAGCTACACTGCTCAGAATAGAACTATAGACTATCACAACACACATATCTTCACTTACCACAGACTTTAGCTCAATCCAGGCTTATAACCATGACCACTATTTACATGCATCCATAGGTGGCTGCGGAAGGAGGGAGAAGAAAGCAGCCAACAAATCATTAGGTACTTATTTCTCTGGCACATTATCTGGATCCTGGTTCTGCTTACTCAGTGAATCTGTCAGACATAAAAGAATCTCACAGCGGACCTGAGTTGCCCGAAATAATTTCAGTGCAGAGACAGAGGATTTAATACTCATACTCATCTCTTTCCATTCATCCGTCTTCTGTAATCACATAGCCCAATAATACCAGTCTTTAAAGAAATTAAAGGGTAGCAGTCAAGAGAGTAAAGTCTAGCCCACCAATCCCTGTTCCACCCCATTATAGACTAAGCAAGAGAAATCCAAGCCTCACTGGGCGAACTACCCTACGGATGGTTTCTAAAGGAAGACCAGTACGGAGGGAAGTCTAGTAATGGGGGCAGACCAGTACGGAGGGAAGACTAGTAAGGAGGGGAGTCTAGTAAGGAGGGCAGACCAGTACAGAGGGAAGTCTAGCACGGAGGGAAGACCAGTACAGAGGGAGGTCTAGTACAGAGGGAAGTCTAGTACAGAGGGAGGTCTAGTACAGAGGGAAGTCTAGTACAGAGGGCAGACCAGTACGGAGGGAAGACCAGTATAGAGGGCAGACCAGTACAGAGGGAGGTCTAGTATGGAGGGAAGTCTAGTATGGAGGGAAGACCAGTACAGAGGGAGGTCTAGCACGGAGGGAAGTCTAGTACAGAGGGAGGTCTAGTACAGAGGGAAGTCTAGTACAGAGGGCAGACCAGTACAGAGGGAAGACCAGTACAGAGGGAGGTCTAGTACAGAGGGGAGTCTAGTAAGGAGGGCAGACCAGTACAGAGGGAGGTCTAGTACAGAGGGAAGTCTAGTACGGAGGGAAGACCAGTACAGAGGGGAAAACCACCAAAGAGTGAAGTCCTCTAATTAGGGAAGTCCCAACAAAGAGGGAGCTTGAAGGTATTGACTTAAAAATAACAGTAACAAACAATGACCAAGCCTAACACCTAGCAGGGGAATGTTATTTTAACCCTAACACTCCCCTTCAAAACATACTTATCCAAAAGAACAGCCATGAATAGTAACTAAAAAGAAAGCATGAAAGAACTAGCACAGTTCTTTTATAGTTATATTAAGGTCACCTTTAACTACTTATCATTCCCTCTATTACTCTTCAGAGGAAGGATTTTTGATAATAAAAATATTAATTTACTGAAAAGAACTTTTTAATTAAAGCAGTGCACATAGCTAGAACCTAGTAACTACATCTCAGCTATTATTAGTAATAATGTTCTAGAGCAAGCCATGCTCTAATCAGGGATTAATAAGGCTGAACTTAAAGGAGTAGTTAAGCTACCTCTATTACTATTACCACATAGTTATAAGCTTCAGTGCTTGTATGGAAACTTAGAAAGCACTATATAGAGGCTACAAAGGATGTGCTATACCCTGGCAACTATTAGTAAATAGTATATCTCTATAGTAACAGTATATATGGCATTAAGGTTCATACAGGTGCAAGCTAACTTAAGGAGGCCTCTCTAAACCTCTAAAACACCACCTCTATGCACTTAAGGATAACAACTTCAGTGTAGGGGATATCCTTTATAACCTTCAGCATAGCAGGATATCTTATTATGATGGAAGAGAAATTATATTTTAGGAATTAAAGATGCCCAGTCACGCAATGAAAGACCTGAGGAGGCTAGAGAAGAGATACCCATGCATTATACTTAGCTTAAGATGATTAATCCCTTATCCAGGGCTTTGGGCTGATATCCCCTTTAACTTTCTAAAGTGCTTAGTAGAGTGTGCTTCTCCAATAGTAAGAACATCCTAGTACTAGGAAAGTGATAAGATATCTAACTACTATTACAGGAAATAAGCTATTATCTAGACATCATCTATGATATTTAGTCATCTTTATTCCTGGATGAACCTACGCATGTTAATGCTGCTTCTGTATGTCTATTAGAAAATCAGATGCCCTAGATAAGAGAAGATGCCAACTTTATCACTATATTAATAAATGTAGGTGAACTCTTCCCTTCCATAGTAGATAAGAGCCACCAAGCCACATTGCTAAGTAGCCTTCTAGACAGGAAAGGCTAAATACTCAGTCTATACTCACTAGTCTAGGATACACTAATCTTACAGCCTTGTGCTAAGTCCTTAAAAAGACTTATTCAACCTAGTTATAAGGACTTGCAGGATGCTCTTATGCAGAGTTTCAATAGTACTAGGAATGCATAGACTATTCAGGTTATAGAGAACGCCTTTAAGAGTATACCTGATAACTAGTCTTATTTAACACTCCAGTCTTAAGAAAATGCCTCTACCACTGCCTACATGCAGCTATGGCTGTTCTTAATTTATTTCATAGAAAGCTTGACCAATGTTAGACTCCCAGGCTCTAAATATACTAACAATGCATATATATACAGGGAGACCCCATCAGAGTTAGCTCATTAACTTGCCATCTTAGCAATATAGTTAGGCTTTAATTCACTTCAGATTCACTCACTTTGTGTAAGCTTAACTATAAAACCTAGTGCCTGAGTATACTTAACCAGCTGTCATCCTTAGGAGTCATATGTCTATCCTCCCTGCTAGGAGGAAGAAGCTCTAGAAAAAGTTATTAATCTCCTAAAGCTTCCTAAAAGGGATGGATATAAGATCATCATTCCACCTTTCTCTATCAATAGTAAGGATCTTATAGCAAATAAGTAGTGCAGACTATAATAGAGAGAATCACACTACAATGACCGCCAGTTCCTATTTACTCTATAGGTCTATAGTAGGGAATAGCTTCTAAAAAAGTACCCTACATTATTCACTATGCTGCAAGACATCATGTTTAGCTTCTTCAGCCAGGAAATATCACCTTCTTAAGCACATCCTATATGGCAGAGGGTAGGAATTAACCCACAGACTCCTCATCACACTAAAAGTCATATTATCTTGTCGCCAGCTCCATGCGATCCTCGTCCTCTGGAAACTCAAGACAGAAAAAATGAATATGCGCAACACAATCCTAACACAGGAAATGATATGACATTAGATAGTCCTAATCTAACTCAGGACTCTATACAGTAAGCACCAATTATGCCTAGTTTTAAAGATGAGACCTCTATCGCGCTGCTGAATTAACTCACACATATCTCTCACAGCCGAGGAGCTAAAGAGATTTTAAATACCTAGAACACATCCCATAACAATGATTTAAGGGTATTCTACTTCTTTAAGAATTATTAGTATTACAAATTTCTGCATAAGGACCCAGAGCTGCATAAGCATCTTAGAAACTTCATTAGCTAATTTAAAAATAATCATTATTTTGCTACCTTGCGCGGTCTAATCAACTCAAGGGATATTATACACTATATTAACACTCTGCCCTTGGTTTTTGTATATACAGAGACTGAGCACAATCAGCTACCTATAGCAAATCTTTGGGAGTACATCCATTCTTTTGACGCTAGAACTGGGAAGCAGAAGCAGGGAATTAAGGAGGACTCTCCATCAGCTATAAGTACCAAAAGACACATCAGTGATAATAGAGCTCGCGATAACAGAGCCAGCGATGAGGAGTCCAAGATTTAAACCAAGGCTCACCAACAAGAGAAACAGATCAGCTCAGATGCAATCCCGAGATATATTAGAAGGGTGTTGATCAACCTAGATATTTTTAAAGAATTAAGGCATCTCTTTCATGATAACTCCTTTCTCATTATTGATCCAATATCAGCAGCAATCCATCATATTCTCTGAGTCGAGAGTACAACTAACTAGAGTAAGGAGACAAGATCACTCAGCAAAACAATGTTTGATGCACCCCAGAAAGAATATGAGACTGTTTCCGTGACAAAATGATTACCGTCTGTTGGGATCTATAGGACCAGTGAGGGAGGAACTAACTTCTTAGTGTGCAATCAGCACTAGGCCAGTTATGAGCATTGCGCCACGAAATCAAAGGCAACAGGTGTCCAGCATACTCTTTGCCTCCAATCTGTCCCCAAAAATGCGGGTGGACGACGGTGGCATACGGATTTTGGGTTAGCGGTGCCCGTTAAGCCTAAAAACGTGGATCGAAGCGATATATTAAGTGTGCTGCCTTGCATTTGCATTAGAGTACAGGGAAACCTAAAGCTAGAATAATAGGGGAAAACCTGCACAGGCCATAAGCATTTGATTAACGACCACATTCTTGACCATTCCCATACATTATTTGTTTTGCATAATGTATGATACTACCCACCTTACCACAATTGTTAATGGTTGTATATCCAGTGTTGGAGTGTCACGGTACTTACTGCCGTAGTCTTATCAAGCTGACTTGTATCTCATACTGATGTAGTCAACCTCCCAGCCAGCGCTTCCTTCAAATCCCAGAAGGAAGCCATTCGCAATGTGCGAATGAAGGTCACCAGAGTCACCTCCAGCGGACCAGTGGTGGCCTTTACTTGTATCAAATTCGATCCTGTCAATGCGCCAGCCCGACCGTATGCTCCAATCGGCACTCTCATCAGTTCCGAACTCGTATTGGGCATATTTGTCTTCATCCTTGGCGTGGTTATAGATGGATTTCTGCTCCCCATTGAACCAAGTGAGCTTGATTCCTTTGACAACCCACTTATTTTGAGAATCACCAGAACCCCAACCACTCCACGCTTCCAGACGTTTCACAGTTGAAGGCTTATTCGGATAGAGGAAAAAGGGATTATTGTTATTTTTACCGTAGGAAGGTGTTTGGTGTTCAGGCATTTTTGGTTGAGAAGTCCGGAGGGATTATGTTTGCTTCAGATGAAGAAAGACAATGTGGAGACAGCTTGAAAGATATAGCGGAGAAGAACAGGAGGTATAATGGTTAGTCTTGTCCTAGAATGGAGTGCCCTCTTTATATCAAGCATTATATAGCGTGAACTTCTCCCCCTTCCTTCCCCCGCCTCCCCTCCCTCTCTCACCCCCCTCCTGGCCCCCTGGACTAGGCGATATAGGATAATGATGTCTGAAATGCAACCCTCGGTCCATATCTTGTAACGTCGTAGACTGTTATCCACACTTTCCGTTTCAAGTAATGGGATTGGGCTGAAGGAGCACCGGAGGCCCCGGAAGTGAAGCCAATGACCTTTACTTCACTTTGAAGGAAAATCCCTGGGCTAGTGTAGCAGCCCTGCAGGACCTATCAAACACGACCACTGCGATATAATTTGATATGCTGACGCAATCTAAGAATATAGGTACGTGATTTGTCGTTGACACAGCTAAAATGTTATCATCATTTAATGCCTGTTCCTCCTAGACGACGTGTATGTGGGGAATGGAAACGGTTTGGTCCGGACTAAATAAAAGTAGTACTCGTCCCGCTGTACATACAATCTAGACCGAAGCATAGTTCGTCCATGGCCTGATATTCTAGTTCGTAGCTACAGACGCACCCGAAACCTGGGCAGTTGATTACGTCAATCAGCCCATAATTACAACGATGGTGGTGGTGATGATGATGATGATGGTTTCATACCCTGACCCCTCGCCTAGGCGCTTAATTACGAACTGACCCCGAAATTTCCTGTAACTTATACCCTAATCCGCTCTGCACTTGGTTAGTGTTAAACCATTGTCCTACTAATATCCAATCAAGCCATAAATACAATTAGTAATACTTTTTTTTGGCTTCCGGAATGAAGATTTGAAAATCGATCCAAATGCACAACAGATGGAAGGGTGTTGTGGATTTGTCACATTTAAGCTAGTTGGTCCCTGGGCATGACCCGAACAGTATGGAAGCCAAATTTTACATTGTTACACAACATTCTCGAGGTAGGCCCTAATCCAGAATAATAGTTACAAAGCCTGGCCACTAGCGTTGCATTCTATACGCACTGTTACACAAAATTCTCAAGATAGATCCCTAATCGGAGCCATAGTACGGGGATAATAGGACCGCGGCATCGAACGAAGTCGGGTCCAGTTGAGAGCAGTGGTGGTGGTTGATGTGACGATCCGTCACCATGTTCCCCGCTGACGTCCTTACACGGAGCTTTCTGCCCCTCTTGACCACTTACTGCTTTGGGTTGTTTGGCTAGTTTGCACCGCTCCGCCCTCTGTTTATAATATCTCCCCACCATGTACATACTTTCCTTCTCTCTCTTCTCTATGCTTAGTTTTCTATTGAAATACTACCATACCATTAGAATATAAGTAGTGCCATCATATAAAACTAAGCATCACTTCCTATATCATCTCTTTCATTAGAAGGTTCAAGATCCAGTAACAAACATATTCTTTTTCATGTTAAGCACTAGAGTTGCATTTGGTGCGGGTTCGGGCGGGTTCAAGCCTAGTTGGCACCGAACCGCTGCGGTTTCGGGTTCAAAATTTAGAACTCGCACCAAACCCGGACCCGATGCGATTCGGTTGCGGTTTTCACCGCAAAACCCGCTGCTAGGCCTAGCTAGGCCTAGCTAGGCCTATACTAACTAACCATGGTTAGATTCGGTTCGGTTCGGGGTTGGTTAAACCGCTAATTTTAACCGTTTTAACCCTTACCATTCCCCCCTTCGGGGACCCCTCTGACGCCCCTATCAAGCATGCTTATATAAAATTATGATTTTTATATGAAATATATGGTAATTATCATCATATTAATCTAGTTCTAAAATATGAATTCAATATCTATAGGTTTGAATGGGTGGTGGTTAAAAAATCATTTTTAAATATGGTCATTGTCAACAGTCAGTTGCATATATATATAGACTACCACTACTTTCATACCAACCTATGACAGAGATGAAATTCCCTTATATCTCAGCAAGCACCAGGTATTTCTAAATGATATTAATATCACTAGATAGCCTGAATCAAGGGCTATCTAGTGATATTCATATTAATTAAAAATATCCAGAATTCAGTGATTTCTAGGTAAAACGGTTGCGGGTTGGTTAACCTAACTCACAAAACCGCAAAAACTGTAACCGGCGGTTTTAACTGAACTCGAAGCGGTTCCACCCTTATGGAAACTGAAACCAGTGCGATTCCCTAGGCTAGGAACCGAACCCAAACTGCTGCGAGTTCGGTGAGGTTCGGGTTCGATTTTTGCGGTTCGGTTATGCAACTCTATTAAGCACTGATCTTACCTCCTCTTGCAAAGAACCCTTCGCGTGCCAATAACACCAACGGTTGGAGATGATGATATGATCTATTAACTGAGATCACGAAGAATAAATAATGGCCAGACCTGTGGCTTCTGCTAAGGAGCCTAAGAACTAGTAAGGAGCTGGGGACAGAACCTATAACCCCTCTACTTAGCATACTAGACCAGGCTTAGGTTTTACTAGAAGGCTAACTACCCTACTTAATTAGACAGAGAACAGCAGCCTTAATAAAGACACCTATAAGCTGGCTGACAGCATCTCCTATAAAGAATTCACTGCCCACTAGGGAATGGACTCTAAGTGCTACTAAGAAGCCATCTCCTAGATCTACATTACTTTAGATATAAAGGTAAACTAGAACTGTGCAGAGGCAGCTCTCCTAAATAAGTAACTTATTAAGAGCTAGAGTGAGACCAACAATCTTAAGTGCTAGAATAAACAGATCTATTAGGAATATAAATAGACCCAGGCCTAGCTTATTACTGCTAACCTTAAATGAGATAAGGCCTGAGAGAAGCTTGAAGAGGTAATCTATAAATAAAATAACTTCACCCTATAGATAGCCTATAGATCTGGCATTGGAAATACTGGTTCCTAGGCTTTAGCTGCTAGTAGTAAGTTAGTAAAGATTCTAGACCCCCCTCTCCTTAGTGATGGAAAGGACCCCTATTTTAAAGATTAGTTGCTAGCTATTAAGTAGAAGCTTATTACTAATGCTGACCACTTCCCTAACCCTATGATAAGAATTACCTATATAACTAGTTATATAGAGGGTAACACCTGGAAGTATATTACCCCTTAGCTATGAGAAGACACTATTAACCTATACTAGGACTCCATAGATCTCCTTAAGCACCTGGAAAATATATTTGCGGACCCTAATTATAAGTGAGTTGCTAAGCAGAAATATAACACCCTCTATATAAAGCTATTAGCTAAATAGAATGACTTTATTTCTAAATTCCTATACCTTATAGTGGAAGTGAGCGTCCCTAAAGAGAGCTGGAAAGATAATCTATATAATAAACTATCTCTTTATATATAAGAGCTCACTATGCCTGCTTATAATAATAATAATAAGACCTTCTAGGAGTTTATAGACTACTGCAGCCATATAGTAATAAATATTAAGAATATAGAAAGAATTAAGGCTTATCTAAACAGTAGCACTAATGCTTATACTAGAGGGACTAGAGTGATATCTTATGCTACTACTCTAGCTGCAGCTGCTTCCTCTATAGATAATACTATTATCTATAGCTGTACTGCTACAGCTTCCCTGGCTCCTAGCAACCTTAATGATAAGACTAGGAAGCACCTTATAAATAAGGGTAAATACTTTACATGCTTCTAGGTTAGGTATACTAGCTGTAGCTGCCCTATAAAGCAGGCTATGCAGCTTAAGGTATTAGAATAGCCTGTTAAACCTACTCCTAAATTAGAAAATGAGAATGCCTAGAAGAAGTCTCCTTCTTAGGCAAGAAATTAGTTAACTTATGTAACTTGGATTTACGGAATTTATTAGGTGATGAAGAAGATAGTTTTAAAATAAAATTACTTATCCTTATTAATAGATTCTTAGTATCTATAAGCTCCCTAGTTAATACTAGAGTAAATATGTATGCATGCATAACTACTCCCCTAGCTATCTAGATCTCTTAATGCTTTAGAGTTCCTACTATGCCCCTAGAGAGGGAGTATGTAGTTATAGGGTTTAATAGAAAGTAGTCTATTCCACTTACTCATATCATTATATTAACTATGGCAATGGATAATTGCATTATAAGATAGATACTATTTCTTATACTAGAGCTGGGATGCTATAATATCATACTGGGAAGGATATGGCTTGCAGAATACTATGTCCTAGTAGATTATGTAGAGAAATAACTAATCTGGCCTACACCACCTGCCTACCTAGATAAGATAGCTATATAGATGAATTAAGAGGTCCCTCGCGACTTCCTAATTAGGTAACCTATTAACTAAGATCACTAATGTGACATTATGCGCCGCGCTAGGTGATGGATAGGGTATAAAAGGGATATTTTCCCTCCCTTAGCTCTATCTTCTCTTCTCTCCCCAACCACCCCTAGCCCTGTGGTTCTTCCTAGGGCAGTAACTAAGCCTTTAAATATATATAGCTTGATGGGAGAACCATAGGGCTATGGTATAAGGTTATGGCACCCCTTTTTCAGAATAATCTGAGGGTCCCTGGATATCTCTGAATACTTATATATTTATTCTCTAGTGCTTCCTTCTGTGGCTTCTAAGGAGGTGCCCAAGCCTTATTCCCCTAAGGAGCCTAACCTAGTAATGCTGATAACTACTACTTTACCTTTCTATAAGACTAGATAATACTAACCTGCAAGAATAGAGGAAATTAATTAGTGGTATTACACCCTTAAGATAGAATGAGTCCTATAAGGAAGAGGCACAGAACTAATATTATAACTATAACCTACCTACCTACTGAGTAAGACTATTATTAATATTACTGTAATAGGTACAGTAGCCTTCTACTAATATATATATAAGAAAGATGCCACTATCTTCTTATCTTCCCTCTATAAGCTTAATAAACTAATTAATAAGAAATAGGGTAAATAACCTCTTTCCCTCCCTTAGCAGCTAACTATTGCAGCTTAGTCCTTAACATCTTAGTTAACTAACCATAGTCCAGCGATTACTAAAGATAAGATAAGTAAGGTTAAGTAAGTCCTACCAGAACCTTATTAGGACCTAGCTAATATTTTC